TTTTACACATTATGCATATTGAAACTTCATGATTAAGTTTCTCTATTTCCATTCTTCTATACATTCTCATTAACCTATGATAAGTTGTTTAAATTGGATCTAATCACTTAGTATCGACTCTGCTTTAAGATACCCTTTTCTTCACTGACAGAGCTATCAGTGTTTGATAAAGAAGGATTTTTTTTTTTCTCCTGCTCAAGGATTTGCTTCATAAATTCACTGAATGACTTTTTTGTTCAGGCTGAGCTATTCCATAAATTTCTTCATGGGTCGACATTGGAGGAGTGCTATTCAGCTGTTGCTTCTGTTGCAAATCGCTGGTTTGATCTTCTCGATGTACGTTACTGGTTTTGATATATTCAACACACAAGAACACGCAAGAAAGTTATCATTTATCAGCAATGTTATTGTAGCTTTTTCTTCGCATGTGTTACCAAATTGATATACAGTATCCGAGATACTAGTGTTCTTTTATAATTATGTAAAATCTGTTTATTTTTGTTATTCACTAGGATTTAAATCTCCATTTCTTTAATAATTTCAGAATCAGGGTGAAGACATTGCAGATAGAGAATTACTTGATTGTATATCAGAATCTAGCACAATGAGCAAATCCTTAGCGGATTATGGTGAACAAAAATCATGTGCCGTGACCACAGCTAAACGCTTAGCTGACTTCCTTGGGCATGCAATGGTTAAAGACAAGGGATTGCACTATCAGTATATAGTTGCATGTGAACCGAAGGTAGGAATTCGTTTTCAGTGTGGTGAGTGAAAGTTTTTATTATCTTAACTCGGTCTCAATACTTGATTATTTTCTGGGAAGATCTATTGTAAAGAAGAAATGATTTAGATACGAGCAAGAGTGTGTATCTTTGTTGTTAGGATCACATTCAGCTCTTCGAGTTACATTTCTTAGATGAAGAACTGGGGAGACATGCATCTTGAGGGACTGCACATGTGCCTTTTGTCGTTTGCTGGCAGATGGAATTTCACTTATATTTTTATTTGATAAGTTCATGCATATGCTTCTGTTGATTTTGAAAAAAGTAAAGAGAAAAAGAACTTAAATTAACACTTTAACCTTTTGAAGTATTTTTTACAAAAGACTGTCGGTAGTAGAAATGCCGTTGAGGATATCATTAAGTTCTTCTACTATCAGATATTTTTACGGATTTAAGGTCATTGACATGATACATTGATCAGGGAACACCGGTAAGTGAGCGTGTTGTTCCTGTTGCAATTTTTGAGACTGAACCTGGTACATTTCTTGATCCCTTTGTTTTCTGGTTTATCAAAATTGCTACATAATAAAGTACTTATGCTGGTATGGAAACTGACTCGCAGAAATTATGAAGTTTTATGTGAAAAAATGGTGCAAAATCTCATCAGATGTTGGTATCCGATCAATTATTGATTGGTCATACTACAAGCAAAGGCTCAGTTCTGCTATTCAAAAATTATCACCATTCCTGCTGCTGTGCAAAAGGTAGATATAATGTTTAATTCCATTGAGTAGGATATTTGCTTCTTTTTCTTTCTCTTTTTCTGTTGTGTGATTTCTTAAGTGGAATGTTTGTTAGGTTTCGAATCCTGTCCCGAGGGTGGTTCATCCTGATTGGCTACACAGGAAGGTCTGTGAGAAAGAGGACAAGTTTCGTAAACGGAAATTGGTTGACATATTCAGTCGACAAAAGAGAGATTTTGCTGCAAGAGAGAGTGGTGATCCTAACATCAGTGATCATGTAGCGAATGAACTTAATGTGCCCGACATGGAAGACTTTAGGAACACTGGAAACACTCTTCCTGCTAAGCCTCAACCTATTGTTCGTTCTTATGGGATCAATTATGAACAACATCAAATCAAAACGAGTAATCTAAGAGAAAGTGCAAAGTTGAGTGATAAAGATGAAAGTGGACATAAGCTTTCAACCAATCCACTGCAAGAGGCTTCCGAAGAATGAATTGACAGAAGTGTAGATTATCGAGGATGGCTGGAGTTAAGGAAGAGAAGGTGGAAAGAGATTCGGGAGAAAAAGAATGTCAAAGGTAGTGTTTTCAAAACTATCTTTAATATGTATCGCATATATATTGATATAGATAGATGCACACTAAGTTGTTGACGTCTCTTAGAAGTTAGAATGACAATCTAACTCACAATTGATACTTATTGGGAATGAAGCTAACCTAAGTTGATGCTTCTGGATCCAAAGTTCCAATATGTATTTGGTTCGTTTTAGGGTTGCAAATCATTATGAACCACTGATTTCTGTTTTGATGTTCAATTTTGTTGATTCACATGAATATATTATTTATCAGGTTAGATAACTTTAGGACTTCAAATGATGGTAGTGAGGCGCCCAGCAGAATACTCAATTTCAAGCAGGCTCAAGGCAGAGTTGGGGTGAATTCCTATTTTCAGAGGCATGAGTTAACTGTTACATGCTGTCATTGGCAGGTAATGTGGTTTTTGATTTTTTTTTTTCCCTTTTATTGCTTTTCTTATGTTTTGACATACTTAATTTCTGCACCTGCTACATGTTTCTTGAATCAGAGCTGATGTAATTTTTTGTTTTACCAGATTATTCAGTTTGTGCCAAGTTCAATGCATGGCCAATTTTTTGCTTGGGTAGTTGTAGACGGAACAATGCGTACGATTCCCATACAAGTCTCCAGACTGTTTTACCTCAATCCAAAAGCCCCTGTGACTGAAGAGTTTCCTGGAAGGCGTGCGAACAAGATTCTTCCTCATGGCCACAAAAAATACAATCTGATTGAGGTACACCATCTAGAAATTGGGGGAATAATGTTCCCACTTAAATGGATCAGAATTATGTAGTGATTGGTATAATAATTTGACATTCTTTGTCTTTATAGGTTACAATTGATGAAGACCAATTCAGAGCTGAAAGCGAGAAATTAGCAGCTCACCTTGCGGATCCTGAAGTTGAGGTATTCTTTCCCATGCATCCACTTTAAAACCTTTAAGATCTTTGCCTTGCAGTCACTCTGAGAAGCTTCCTCATATATCTTACTTACACCATTCTACTCACTTGTATTTCCCCATGGTAGTGTAAAGGTTATCCATCTTGTATCCTGCCTTCAGGATCTTGATACTGCATTACACATCAGCTTCCTAAGTATCTTGTCATTGTTTATGAAATGATTAATCAGTACACAACATAGACCTCTTAATGTATCCACATTACAAAGTGGCTAAACCGTGTTTTTTCAATATAATAGGTTTTTATCGTACATAACATCATTAAGTAACATATATATCGACTCACAAAGAAATTTTGATTTTGTATTTTGATTATTCACAAACTTGACCGGGTGAACAACTTTGGCAGGGAATATATGAAACAAAGATCCCGCTCGAGTTCAATGCTATCCTGCAGATTGGTTGTCTGTAAAGTGGATAAGTCTGCCAAAAAAAAGAAATGTCCAAGATGGCTGGAGTTTGGATGAATTGCATATGAAAACAACTACAGAATGCTCGTATCTGGAAAATTCGATGTCTTTCTTCTACTTGTATCATAGGTAACTTTGATTTCTTAAATAAGTTATTTGCCCCAATTTAAGGCGAGGGAGTGGCTATAGTTTGGTCTGTTAGCTTCTCTAAGATCTGATTGTTGCATGGTGTTTGGGCTACTGTTAATAGCATCTTGAATGAAATATATATTTCGTTTATTGGCATTTATCAGAACTGAAGCTTACTCGGGAGGGTTAAATTAAGGGTTCTATTGATTAACTTGCCATTGTCACGTAGTGTTGGAAAGAGCTTATATGAAATAGTATGTCTCCATGTTTTTTCATTGTCTTGCACTAAGACTGAATCTTACTCAGTATATTTTATTTCTCAATTAACGTGTATCGGAGACTTTCATCACCCCTCCCCCTCCTTTTTTATTTTTTAACTTTCTTTCCTGAAGTGCAACTATGTTGTGAGACTCCATGTATACGTTAGGTTTTGACATTCTTTGTTTTTGCAGCATATCTGATTCTCGAGCTATGTACGTTGCATATTTTCCTACGTCGAGCCAAGTGTATGTTGTGGTTGTTAGCCCTTTCCCAAGTAAAGAATTATCACCTCAAATGCTCGAAAGACAATTCCGTGAAGCTAGCCAAGCATTATCCATTCAGCTCTCCATGACAAATGAAGGCATGACATTCAAGGTAAATTTGTTTTGCATGGGACTAATGTTTCTCTTCTATATGATGATGCTAATTTATCT